ATAGAAGACAGACAATCTCTCTCCGCTAACAACACGTTGTATGCCAGCAGCTGCAACCATATGGCATTCTTTCTGTGATCTTGCTCTAAGAGCTCGTTAATACGATCCTCTCGGATGTTGCCAACACACAGTTAATATTAGTTTCGAGTATGTTTTCTCAATGTATGAGTGACACCGCGAACTTCCACTACGGTCTCTTCCTCGATAACCACCTGGTTAACATACTTAACTTTATTTCTAAAAGGATGTTGCAGCGGCTTGTGCTACCGTTTAATTTTAATGGCACTACCCTCTTTGATCTTTTCTTCAAATATGAAACAAATGTTAATTTAAAAATTATTTCATATCAATAAGAATCATATCAATAAGAATTAGATAGCATCAGAAAAAATATAAGAATGAAATGTAGATATATAGAATCATATAGAAAAGTGCACACTCGTCAATAGCAATTTAAAAATATGTCCCTCCTAAAAAAGATATTCAAGAAAAAGAGATATTCAAAAACGAGATTATTTTTCCAAGCAACTGGAACGGTAACAATTGGATTGAAATTAACTAATGAATAGGCTGTTAATTGAAAACTAATTACTCTTGCATTGGCCTATTATACAATAATTATAATTAATAGATACAAAAAAGATACAAAGAATCCAAAAAAATGGCCGAAATTGGTTCTAGATATACGTACGCCAATACCTAAAAAATTCTACAAATTTCTTTAAATGTACAATATAAAAAAGTCAAACAACACTATAAAGAATTAGTTATTTACATGTTCGGCTCGGGACCAATTTTTTAGATATATGTGTATAATATTGTACGCATGTCAATCTTCGGATCTAAGAAGACACACACACACACACACACACACACACACACACACACACACACACACACACACACATATATATATCGATACCTTTCTATCTTACAAACTATAATCAAAGAAGTTAATGAAGAATCCATTAATGAAGAATTTTTCTTTCATAAAGTTACCCGCAACAAGAAGAAAAACAAAGAAAAACATAGTGGATCCATTGGTTCGCAGTCGACGAAAGCGGCGGAGTTTACTGAGCTTTCGAGCCAATAGGAGTACGTCGGCTTGCTAAAAATACATTTTGAATCACAGTAGGAGGAGATGAAACAACACCTCCTTCGCGAAAGGCGAGAAATACTCTTACAAGTACGTATCTCTATCCGAGTAAGACGAGTAACTCAGCTAAGGAACAATTCGATCAACGCCGGATATTTAAGAAGAATCGACCGGATATAATAAATAAGCGCTTGACAAAAGTATCGGAAAAGAACATTTTTAGGCAAGTTTTATCAAACGCAATGAAAGAGAATAGTTCATGAAAAAAATAACTTTCACACATGTCAAAAATATACATGTAATGTGTGCAAATTCTTCTTGTGTTATTTGAAAACCGAAATGACCGGTAATGCGCAAAACGAGGAACGAGAATATTTCTATATATAAAATACTTCAAATACGCGAAAAGAATTTTTTAATCCAATTGTGAGCGAATTTGCGGGACTTGTTGAATGTGTCAATGATGTTACGCGATGTATACTGTGGAATTGCAAACACTGTGGAACAAATATGTTTAATGTCGATTGCATATTAAATAATCTGAAAGTATTAGTTTATCGTACTTGAACAGCTTGAGGTTTGACCCAAACTTTAACATATTCCATCTATTAAATATAATTCCGTTAATTAAACGTGTCATTTTCTCTCTCCCTCTCTCTCTCTCCCTCCCCTCTCCTCTCTCCCTCCCTCAAGATAATATCAAAATCAGAATGAAAACTAGCGGAGGCAGTTCGAGTCGTTTGAGTACAAACGCAAATGTGGAGCAACGTTTAAGAAGTCCGAAGTGCGCGAGATGTCGAAATCACGGTATAATATCCGGTTTGAAAGGTCACAAGAGATCCTGTGCATGGAAAGATTGTCGATGTCCTTGTTGTCTTCTAGTCGTCGAAAGGCAGCGAGTGATGGCAGCGCAAGTTGCTCTACGTAGACAACAACAAGCGCAAGGCGACAATCTTTTGTCTTCAGTAAATAAAATATCAGCGGACACTGTAAGTCCTTATTACTCTAAAGCAAAATACAACGAACCTGTCTACGGTAGAAGAACCAAGAATTTTCAAAGGCATCATTTACATTTCACGCAGACAAGTATCAGCGTAACGCAGGACTTTTATGGATTAAATACCGTACATGGTTTACCTGGTGCATGTGAGTATATCTAAAATCCTGTAAACCCTTTCAAATTTTATCGTAAGAAGAAATTGTTCGGAAATATGTAAATATGTCGATAATGTATGCATTGATTTGATGTTTAATAATATTCCAAACATGCTACTTTACCCTTTGGACATTTTAAATTATTACAACAAAATAAAAATAAACTCTCGAGATTTAACAACAAATCACATTTGATGTATTTTTTATTAGCAAAAGTTTAGACAGCGAACTATGAAGAAATATAATGCATATTATAAATAATATAAGGGGTTGGAAAATATTTCAATCTATTGGCACTATCTACATATATTCAATTTTATTAGTTTTCCATTTTTTTCTATCTTTTCAAGTATATTCTTGCAGTATAGTGTTTTTAAGAGTGCACAAAGTTACGAAAAAACTCTTACACATTTTAGTATCAGCCCATCCTGCACGTTTGCTGAGCAATTTATCTTCTCTGGAATGTGATCAAAAACAAGAAGCTGAACCCATACTGAAGATAGAGTCTTTCCATTCTGCATACCCGACAATGGTTCCGTGGTTCAATGAGGTAACGCAATCATACATAGCGAATGAAGAGTTGAATAATTTTATTTCTACGAGAGATTTGCGAAGCTGTCCTACTACAACCAATAAACCTTGTTTAGAAAAAAAAGCGCCAATTTCCTTCAGCGTGGAATCTATTATCGGTACGAAATAATCTATTATCTGTATTTTAATTGTTGACCAGCGAGCTATTACCTATTCAGATTCCGACCTGGCAATTTGAGAATTGTCAACGATACCGCAACTGCAACATGCACTTAACATCGAATGATCAATAAATATCGCACCTATCTTCCAGCAATATATTCCAGCAGGATACATAATAAATGACAATGCTAAATTTTTTAATAAGAAACGGAGTGAGGTATTTTGCTCGTATTCGTTAATTGGTACTTGAATGATTAATCTCACCGCGACGAAATGAATAATCTTAATAGTGCACTCTAAATAGTGCACCAATTAGTATAAGTAAAAGAAAAAAGAAAAAACGACATTTTCACAAACATTGTGCAAATTATTTAATAGCAGTCGTATATAATCAGCACTTTAATATATCATATAATAAAGTGTATTTTACTTTCTCGTTGACTCTATATATATAT